ATGCGATACTTTAAAATACAGGGCCAATATTCAAGGCGTTGTGCTTCCAAGGGCGAACTGAGCTAATATAGAAGATCGATATGGAACCTAGAAACGGTTCACCAGTCTGCACACCACTTACGACAGAACACCTACGACACCCGTTCTAAAATTTTACCAAAAAATGCAGTCAATACAATTAACTGGTTCGCCCCTGGGCGTTGTTCGATATGGACATTAGAATTAGCATATTTCCACACCGAAAGTCAAGCACTTTTGGGGCCGTAAGGTATGCTTCCCCGAATGGTTGGGGACGAAAATCCCTTTAAATTTTTTGTTTTGAACGATACTGTTTCTTCATTTTCAATGCATGTTTACTTTAACCTACACACATATTAAATGTAGGCCCTTTATCAGGACAATCCCAGTTGGGAAGACAGAGAAAATTTAAAGGGATTTTCGTCCCCCAACCCTTCGGGGAAGCATACCTTACGGCCCTTGGTAATAAGACCCGACTGCAATTGAAATTTTCGGCGATTTTTTCGTGCATTTATTGAAAGCTCTTTAGTGGCGTTCTAAACTATTAGATAACGCATACCTTTAACAAGATTGTATGTAGACAATGAAATAGTTTAGAGTATTCTTAATAGTCGATTTTTAGTCGAAAGGGAAGAAAAAGAAGGACATAAAGGAGGAAGATGGAGAAACGAATCATGCGGTCATCGACAGGACCGTCATGGCACAGCGTCAAGTATTCACACACGATGATCTGATGGAGCTAAAACGCTGACAAGTGGCAGCTTTATCCCAGATTTTCCAGGCAGATTTTTTTAGTTACACTCAAAATTTTCAGTCGACCTTATTGTCGTCCACCTTTGAGCTCTCATACCTCGTTTGTAGTAGCAGTTTCAACTGGTGTCTAACTTGGAGACTCTTCCTCACTCCTATTTTGAAATTATTTGTTCAAATCTTGCCTCATGTCAGGGCATGTTATTTACACGGCTTCGTTCGCTTTTTTCTCAATAACCTCAGTTTTCTGTCTTTTTTGATTCTTCTCAACACCTATCCCTGTGTATCGGAAACGCTTTCTCACAGTTTTAAATCGGCATTAGGTTTTAATAAGGGTTACCAATAATATGTACCTGTTATGTTTGCGGGACAATACCGGAAATCCGGGTTAATTGTTTGCAAGGGTTCTTCGATCAGTACTACCATTTTTATGCGCTCAATACATGTACCAGGATTAGTCGCAAATGCATGAAGACTGTAGTATTCCAGATTCCAGTTTTCTTCATAGGGCAGTAGTTACACCTTCGTTTAAGTGGTCAGTCGTATTTCTATGAAATGATTGATTTTCCAACTTTTTCTCATTTCTTCTGGTGGCCGATGTCAGACTTTGCGAATCGAGCGATTCGCTAGCGTCTGCGGTCGCGTCGCGGCCAGTGAATCACTCAATTGGCTGGTACCGCAACGCGACCGCGGACGCTAGCGAATCGCGCGATTCGCAAAGTCTGACATCGGCCTAAGGTGATCCTATGCCGCTAGGAGTTTGGAGTAGAACGGGATGACTTCAGTAACAAACATTTTAAGTAATCCTAAAGTAGGTCGTTAATCATAGAACGAGTAGCTGATTGAATGTCATTTTGGCATAACATCCGTGAGGTGTAGACTACTGTAGGTGTACGACAGAAGCACCTATGACGCTCCTGTTCGACAATGTGTGGGAGCTCTGCCGAGCCTAGGCTATCTTCGAACCCGCTGTTTCCTGCTTTGCCATTCCATTCCATTTCAGGAATGCTCCTCACATCATACCTTACTAACAGATACTCATTTTCACTTTATACGCTCTGTACTTTTATATTATGTATTCTATCCGGTGTTCATCCCATTATTAAATGACCATTTTTGTGGATGTTTTCATAGCATAGTAGAGGTCGTTAGAAGTTTTGCTGTTCAATAAAGCCTAAACATTTACGCTATCGGTGCATAAATAGGCTGTCGATGGTCAGCGTACTTTCAATATATCAACCTATATGCCTCTGGCCCTCATAATTTCTTCTCCATCCGGATTTTAGACTGTTAAGAGATATCAAGTCAGCGATTTTCGTGGCTGTCAAGCGGCGTTAAGGTATTTTTTATTTTTGTTTTTTGTATCAAAGTTTGAATGTTTTCTCCTTCGTTTTCTATATGCTTGGTATTTTTTTCATTTCTTTTGAAGTCAGATTTTGTGTTAGGGGATTTCAGAAATCATCTTTGGCTTATTTTGTTCCAGATTCTAATTTTAGCAGATCACTTTTGGAGAGTTTTAGTGTGTTAAAGATGTAGATTTATTGCCTGTTCAGAAGCTCACCAACTCGTTTTTGCTGTTCAATGTCTTCAAACCCTAGCTGGTGGCCGTATCGTATTCCTGTAGACGAAGCGCTCAAGAAGAGTACTGTATTAGTCATCGGGGTTGTCGTTGGAGCGAATGTGGTGTCGTACTATTGGAAACCTATGCGGGTAAGTTTCAAATGAAGCCCTTTGTTGCGGCTCACGTCCTATTTTGTCAAGAGATATTTTTTAATGGTCTACCTTTTGTCAGTTGAAATAGGAGAAAGGAATATGGCCCATATACGTTTGCTGGGTAACATTGTACGCGTCAGTCAAATCGCGTGAACCACCTGTACATCACATCATGTGGATATCCCGGTTCCAGTAAACACAAAGATTTTGTTTTGTTTTACCATGATATGTTATCACATACATATCATGAAATGAACTTGTCAGTCAGCATCATCTGATTGCATTTTCTCGAGATCTAACAATTCCTAGGGCCTAATGCGTAATTTCTTGAAACAAAGAGTGACCACACATGAATCGACAATTTACCTGCGGGGCGACCCTCTGGGTCGGCCAAAATGTGCGCATCCCCACAGTACGCAAATTTGCGCGATGATTTGCTGGTCGTAAACTTGGTCGCCCGTAGTGTTTTCTCGCATCATATGGTGGCAGGGGCCTGAGATTCTATGGCCTATGCGTCACGTTCTAACAAGGAAGGTCTTTCAGGGTGTGCCAAGCTTTTTCAAAACGGTCTTTTGCATGATATAGGAGGCACATGCGGGAACCACAGAACCATGGTTAATTTTTCCTGAACGGCCCTCTGAATACCAGAAAAGGGGGTCCCTAGTCACACCTTTTTCACCAGTTTTTCAATCAAAGTCTATTTGTAAGGGTTACTGACGGTCCTAATCATGAATTTGGTACTAATTATTCATGCTAACTCCATTTTGCGCGAATTTGGAAACGTCAACTCGAAATGCAAAAATTTGTCACCACGAGGAATCGAACTAGGGACCCCTTTTCTGGTATTCAGAGGGCCGTTCAGGAAAAATGAACCATGCTTCTGTGGTCCCCATATGTGCCCCAATGTCATGCAAGAAACCATTTTGAAAAAGCTTGGCACACCCTGAACGACCTCCCTTGTAAGTCCAAGTGCGAGTGGCTGGAAACGTAACTACAGCCTTTTAAAATGTAGGCAAGGGGATTCCTTTCTTCTACCTGTGAAATACGCTTTCCGAGTCTGCTATTGAAGCGCTACGTTTCTTCTGTAGACCCATGGTTAGACGTGTTGTGATTTGGTTCCATTTGAAAGCTCTTATCGTTAGTTGGCATCATTAACGATGTTGATATGTATCATTTTCAGGAGTACGACGAGGCACTTGATCGAGGAAAGCTTGAACTATTGCGTAAATATAAGGCGTTGCATGATGAGCGGCTCGCAAAATCTCAGAAACAACTCTGACGTTTCAGGAGGGGACAGGCGGGATTCTAAAGAGGTGGGTGACCAGAATGATGTTTCTCTAGAGCTTTTATAGAGCTACAGTTCCGGAATGGATCTTGTCGTTGAGCAGAAATTTCTGTAGCAGTATTTAAAAATTCCATTGTTCCAGTCCCAAGGAAGCGACCACTATGGTAGCGATGGCGATCTTCGGTCGACACTATTCAAAAAAGTTTTCAAAATGTATAAACGACGAGTTCCACCGCCAGATTTGAGTGGTGTTCTTGGTCAGTTGTAAACATTATATTTTCGAAAGACTGGCTGCTTTGGAATCCCAGATGTGAAAGTCACTTTTGTGTGAATATGTGACTGCAGATGGTCAAGGTCGCGGCAGCGCCACT